TGTTTTAAACTGTGATCAAATTTCACAATATTACTGTATTTTCTATATCAAATAAATGCCTTGCTGAGCATAAGAGACTTCTTTCAAAAACATAAATCTTACTGACCCTAAACTTTGAACAGTAGTGTATTTGTGATGTGTCATGTAACCTCAGGTATTTTCTGTTTTAGGGTGTTTTTGTCTCTGATGAGGAGTTAAAGAAAACTTACTTGGAACCAGAGAATATTGAGGGCCAGGTCGAGGTTGTCCGGCATCCAGACGAAGAGGGTGGGATGCACACACTAAAAATAATCCAGCCCTAGATTTTTTCCCCTACACCATTAATTGCCATTATTTGCCTAGAACCATTGTTTTAAATGCACCAAATATAAATATTTGATGGTTATTCCCTCAATTTCATTCAGGTGAGGACTTTTCTGATGAGGAACATGACAACTTGGTTGATGCGGAGCACCTTGGTGAACAGGAGCAAATTTTCCATGACCTGCATATGAGCCGGATGAGTTATGAAGATCTGGTCAAGAAGAGTGTGGTATGAAAGCTTTTGATCGATTTCCAGGGAAATTATGATTCATGAATTGGACAGTGGTAGTTTATTCTTTCTGATTTCTCTGTATGTAGGACCTGTTTCTGGTGAACTCTCAGAAGTACGCGCAGGAGACTGCGTTGTCTCAAAGAGTCAAAGAGTGGGAGGATGGAATCAGTCCTCATCTTGCTGCTCAGGTAATGTGGGATGACTCTTGCAAGGTTTCTGTGTTAAAATATTCACCAAAACAAATATATATATATATATATATACACACAGTGGGTACGGAAAGTATTCAGACCCCCTTAAATTTTTCACTCTTTGTTATATTGCAGCCATTTGCTAAAATCATTTAAGTTAATTTTTTTCCTCATTAATGTACACACAGCACCCCATATTGACAGAAAAACACAGAATTGTTGACATTTTTGCAGATTTATTAAAAAAGAAAAACTGAAATATCACATGGTCCTAAATATTCAGACCCTTTGCTCAGTATTTAGTAGAAGCACCCTTTTGATCGAATACAGCCATGAGTCTTTTTGGGAAAGACGCAACAAGTTTTTCACACCTGGATTTGGGAATCCTCTGCCATTCCTCCTTGCAGAGCCTCTCCAGTTCTGTCAGGTTGGATGGTAAACATTGGTGGACAGCCATTTTTAGGTCTCTCCAGAGATGCTCAATTGGGTTTAAGTCAGGGCTCTGGCTGGAACTGAACAATCGGTTGCAATGTATTCCCAGTAAATGAGTGTCGGACATTTTGTGTACAGGAGACCCGTCCAGCTTTTGACATCCATGAGTATGGAGACAGAATTGTCCAATCACTCTGTAGCGTGGGTGTGAAAAAATCATTTGCCTTTGTTGTCAAAGGCAAGGAGAACACCGAAGCCTGCAGATACATGCTGGCTACACTGCAGCTGGTGGGTATAAAAAGCAATGACTGCTGGTATTTACCTGAGGCTGAGAGTCTAGTTATGCATTACCAGTAAGGTTGTCTGTGCCATTTTGAGCAACTTCTATTTCTTTGACTGAGATTTGTATCGATACTTGCGACATTTAAGTTAAAACACAAACTTTTAAAACTAAAATGTCACCTGATGCTACTTTTGTATTACAGGCCAATGATTACACAGTGGAGATTGACAAGAGAGATGGGCTTGAAGAGAGCGTAGATACTGTGGAGCTCACGTTACTGACTACACAGAGGGCCCATGAACGTCTCAAAACCTACAATGCACCCTCTGCTACAGATATTCCTTGAACTTTTATGTTTGTTTATTGCTTATCATCTCTTACCTTTGGCCCCAAACATTAGCTATTTATCACCGACAATGTCAGAAAGCGAGAAAATCCAGACAAAGAAGTTCTATGCTTTTCTATTCTAGGTCTTTTTTCTTTTTTTTTGTCTGGTAATTCCTGTATTCTGATATCCAGCACTGTACATAAGATTTCAGTTTGGCCTTTAAATATGCTGAAGAATAAAAGAAATAACAGGTGTTTGAGACCGGCTTTGCATTTTAAGAAGAGAATATGTCATATTTCATTGGCTGAAATTATGATAAAAGTCTGTAAAATGGTTTTTAAAAAGTCTGTTTCTATGCATTCTTTGAGATTTTAAGATGGAGACTTTTCCCTCCCAATTTTCATCTCTAAGTAAACTGCATTTCTGTACAGTTTCTAAACCAATTTTATAGAATTATAGGAGACAAAAATAAAAAAAAGTGCTGCACTATTTAAAAAGTCATTTTGTGTGATGCGAGTAAATAGCAGGTGCAACTAACATTTAGTAGCAGTGAGGTATATGAGAACTGCTTCTGGATTTACTTCTTTTTTTTGTTATAGTTTAGATAAATAAGAGTCTTTATATGTACTGTACAGTTTAAATCAGAAATAGGACATTCCCTCTATCAATCTTTTAATTATGTTAAAAAAATCTTTGTTATTATAGCATTTATTAATTCATGTTTTATATTTTTATAGATATATTTTCATTTTAGTAATTTTATATGCTTTTGTCACAAAAATATTTCAGTATAGAGTCATTTTAGTACTTATTTCAGTTGTCAACATTTCCACGTTTTTAAGTTTAAGATTTTCCATATAATATTTCAGCCTTATTTTAATTACAAAAAAGATAATGGTTTTAGTTTTACTTTATTAACAATGCCATTATTTATGCACGTGAGGAACTAGGATGTAGCTGATCAGTGGTTTGAAATACAGCTTTATTGTGCAAACATTTTTTCCCCCATTTAGATTAATCTGGAAATAATTTAACATAGTTTTTCATATGATTACGTATACTCTCAGCAATCTGTACATCATTTTTCATTCTATTGTAGTAGTCCAGGAAGAGTCCGTCTGGATTAACCACGTAGATGATGATGGTGTGGTCCACAATATAATCCCCATCCTCATCTTTAGGCCCAGCGCTGGCGTAGACCCTATAATCGCGTCCTGCCTGCTTCACTTCCTCCGCAGTACCCGTCAATCCAATCAGCCGGGGGTGAAAATCTTTCACGTACTTTGCCATAGCAGCCACATCATCTCTCTCAGGGTCAACGGTGATAAATAGTGGCTGGACAGGGGGCATGTTGGGGTCTTTATCAAGAATACGCACCACACTGGTCATTTTGTCCAGCTCGTCTGGGCAGATATCTGGGCAGTGGGTGAAGCCGAAATATAAGAGCACCCAACGGCCCAGGAAGTCACGTTTGGTCCTTCGCTGTCCTGTGTGATCTAACAAACTGAAGTCTCCCTGTCCGACTGCCACTTTTCTCAACTGCTCCAGTCTTTGCATCTGGATCGTCTTTTGTTTCTCCTGATAAACATACCACCAGGTACCAATAATAACGCCTCCGAAAAGCAGCGTCACCACCAAGCGTGTATGCAGTTTGATCCCTGCGGATGAGCCTGGGTTTGGCGTTTTAGAGGAGTCTTGAGAGTAAAAAGCTCTTTGTTCTCCAAGTACCCATGGTAGACGGCAGTGTGGTGGAGGAAAACCTTGAGCTGATGTTCTAATATGGGACGTGTGTATCGTTTTGAGAGATCTGCATGAGGGGAATGTGGCTTTTGGGATGTGATGTGAAAGGTTATTTGTTTCTCTCCTTGTTGACCGTGGGATGCTCCATGACATCACATGCCAGTCCAGTCTTCTGAGGCAGCCGAGTCTCAACATCCTCAGAATAACTGATGGAGACAAAAAAGAATGGAGTGAGCTGAGCAAGTTCAAATGTTTTTAATAAACTACAGTCTGAATCAAGGCTTTGAAGCCTGGAGATCTGTCTTCCTACAGATGGACATGTTTTCATTTACATGTGAAAAGACCTTGATAATCTTGTTCATCTGGTGTGTTTATTTAGGGTTTCAGCTGAACTCAGCAGGCAGATCACAATCTGTTTATTCGTAATATATTCAGAATAAATTATACAGATCTACAAAAGAAGAATATTTGAAAACACATAAATTGTTAGTTTATAAATATTCAACATATAATCATCGGTATATACGTATATAAATAACATAACACTATAAAGTAGGTTTTTTTCTGATACTGTTCATTTTGCCTTCATTGATTGTTTTGATTTTGTTATTTTGAAAACGAATAAACAAACAAATAAATTAAGACATATAAGGGATTTTAAACGAACACTAAATATGCATGTATTCCATCCCATACTTTACAATATGCAATAGCCTTCTAAGACAGGTAAATGACAATATTAGCAAAGCTAACGTTAGCTCTTCGAAAATATATCTGTTTATAACACTGTCTTTGGTCGGTGCAAATACAGGCTTTGTAATATGAACACAAACTTACTTAATTAAATATTACTAACCCTGTTGTTACAGTCGTCTGTCCTTCTCGATGTAAACTTGAGCTCTTCATGTAACATGTACAACAGTCAGGCGGTGTCAGACTTGAGTTTCGCGGTCGCAGATTCGTCGTGTAGAATTGTCGTGATTTTAAATAAAATAATTATAAATTACATATAAATATTTATCATTTTATATTACTAAGTATTGTACATTATTAAGTCCTATGTATCAATATTTGCTACAATACACATTTTGCGGTAGATTCGTCATTACTGAATGCCCAGTTGATGGCAGGTTGGTAAAGATAAACAGTTGGGTGGAAATCTGTAAAATTGGCAAGGTTTAAAGTTGTCCGTTTCCATTTATTATGTTTTAGGAAATTATATCGCATATAATTATGCTTTACGTCTAACACCCAATAAAAATAAATAAATAAAACAAGCAAAAAAAATAAAACTCTGTTCATGTTCATGATAGAATATGCGTGTTAAAGTCATTTTTGTATAAAGTGCATTTTAATGTATTAAAAAAAAAGGAAGAAGAAGATTGACATGGGACACACGCACGCGCACGGTCGTGCCCCAAAAAGAGTGCGCGCGTCGTATCCATAACAACGGAGTCAAACACAAAGTGCCTCTCACGCGCTGTTTCAAACATGGACCCTGCACCAGCATCCTACTACGGGCCCCTGGATAAAAACAACCCCGTCCTGTCAGCTTTTCAAAGTGACCTAAAAGAGTTTAAAGCGCATATAAAGAAGCTTTCAGGCTCACCGAACTACGACTACCGATCCTACTCTAGAGGGTAAGAGATAAACACAGAAAAAAGGCTAAAAACTCGAATCTCATTGATATTTTGTAGTGCTTTGTGTTTTTGTATTACTTTATTGATGTTTAAGTATGCTTAATTAATATACAAAACATTTGTGTTAACTGACAGGTCCATTAAACTGTTTGAAACATGGAACAAGTATAAATCTCGCCTTCCTCCCTCTTATTTCGAAGAGCACCTATTCCAAACAGCAGATTTCCTCCTTGACTCCAAGGTAAATAAAACTTTGCATTTCCCCCCTTTTTTAACCACGGTTATAGGCTACCAGTTGGTTACAACAAATATGTTTTGCTAATGCACCCAATCTTCATCCATTATGTGACCCTGGACCACAAAACTAGGCATAAGGATCAATAAGGGACAATGAATAAATAAGCTTTCCATTAATGTATGGTTTGTTAGGATAGGGCAATATTTGGCCGAGATACAACTATTTGAATATCTGGAATCTCAATATTTTGACAAATGTAAATATTGAGGAACATCGCCTTTACAGTTGTCCAAATGAAGTTCTTAGCCATGCATATTACTAATCAAAAATTAAGTTTTGATATATTTACGTTAAGGAATTTACAAAATATCTTCATGGAACATGATCTTTACCTAATATCCTAATGATTTTTGGCATAAAAGAAAAATCGATCATTTTGACCCATACATTGTTGGCTATTGCTACAAATAAACCCGTGCTACTTATGACTGCTTTTGGGGTCCAGGGTCACATATAATCATATTTCCTTTGTATAAATATTTTTCATCATGTACTATAAGCTTTACAGGCTTGCTCTCTGGCAAGGGTACAGACTTTATCTGCAGCAGTTTTGCACATTAAGCCTAGAAAGCATACGAGACGTGGAGCACTTCAAGCAGTCTTTCTTCTCAGACGGCTTTGATTCAAAAAGAGCCCGACTTACGGTTAGGGATCCTGCCTGAAATACATGTATTTCAATATTTTTGGTTTTGATATCAATTTCAATAACCTTTGAAATATGTATTTGTAGTTCCGTGCTCTTCAGGGAGAATGCCAGTGCATCTTCTATTTGGAGAAAGAGAGAGGTGCACTGCCAGACCAGAGTGGGGTTCAAAAGCTGCTGAGCATCCTGGGATTTGTGCGCATTCTCATGCAGGCTGTTCTGCCTGATGAAAGTTTATGCTGGATCCTCTACAATGGTACCTTCAGTAAGACCTCTGGATGTAGTATATCACACTGACAATAAATGGTAACTGTGACTTGTTTTCTGTATTTCCTCAGGCTCGTTACACATGTACAACATATGCAGATTCCTGATGTCAGCAGGCCATGCGTCACAGGTTCACAAAAACATGCCATTATCTATGATTTTTTGTATCACTTTTCAGAATATACAATACTATATCACATTTCTATGAATTAAATTCATTCATGTTTGGAGCAAGAACTCAATATATTTACGTATTTATTTGTTTGTATTCTTCACAAAACATATACTTTTTGTATATTATGGTTTGTTTTGAAGTCTTTTTTTGTCTTTGTTCAGGTTTTAGAGTACTTACTATGGGCATGCACATGCCTAGAGACATCTGTTCCTCTATTGACTGCCAGCTTCCTGCCATGGAGGGCCACACTTTACTGTGCTGTGTGCGAATGTTATTTTCATGACTGTGCATCAGTTCAGGCAGAGGTGAGTTCACATCAAAACGCTAAATCATCTTAGCTTTATGACTCAAGAGCCCACAGGCAATCTGTCCTTTTGTCTCCTGTTGTGCAATACTGTAGGTGTTTGCTCGCCGAGCCCTTGGCAAGATCAGTGAACTGGCCAAGCTGGAGGAGATGACTGGCTCCCAAGTGTCATCGGAGACCCAACAAGCTTATAAGGAGGCCACAGTAAAAGTGAGGAAATGCAGTCTAAATGAAACATGTTGTTGTTTTTATCGTTCTTGTATTATGACTACCATATTTTATTACTGTTATTGCTCCAATATTGGAGAGAAGCTTGCAGTGATGGTGTTTAAGCGTTCAGTATATGAGCCCCGAAGGAAACCGAAAGGCCTCTTCAGACCCAAACAGAAGAGCAATTTGAAAGAGCTACAGCTCGTGAGTATTCACTTTAAAGGGGTCATGTGATGCTTTTTTAAAGATCATTATTTGGTGTAAGAGAATATGTTGACATGCTTTAATGTTCAAAAAACACATTATTTTTCAAATACTGTACATTATTGTAGGTCCTCTATGCCCCGCCTCTCTCAAACGCTTCGTTTTCTACAAAGTCCCTCCTTCCGACAAGCGCAGTCTGCTCTGATTGGCCAGCTGACCCAGTGCATTGTGATTGGCCAAACACCGCAAGCACTCGTCGGAAATGTAACGCCCCTTATCATAATCGCGAGCTTCATCTTTCAAAATAAATGTAAAGTCAGAGCCGAAAGGGGAACAGAGTCGCGTGACAGACACAGTGATGAAGCTGGTATGTGTTTGTGATGTGACCCTCTCTCTCTCTCTCTTTTGCGCGGTCTCTCTCGCTCTCTCTCTCTCTCTCTCACACACACACACACACACACACACACACAAGAATATCTCTTTGGTTTTGAGACTTTAGTCTTTGCAACTTCAGGGATCTTATCTATGCACAATCAGCTTGTAACACTCCAAAGAGAAAGGAAAACTTGAAATCGCATCATATGACCCCTTTAATAATGTAGAATACATCTTTTTCTTAGTTCTTTACTAATATCTTCTTTTTTACTCTTATCTGTCACTTTATATCTCTCGGTAGACTCCATGGCCTCGCACACCAACCGAGCGTATCCTGATGGAGATGTTCGAGGGCAATGCTGCTCGGTTTCTGGCGGTGCTGGAAGCTCTACAGGACAGCTCTGTTAGGCCTCTGCAGACCGGATTGCCTGAAGAATTTGAGGTCCAGGATGTGGTGCTGGAGCTCATTTCGGCTGGGACTAGCTTGTTGTCTGGTACACTTTTTCATCCTGTCTGCCTCAGTGCAACTAAATGTAACCTTTAAGGCTTGTTCACACCAAGGACAATAACTATAATGATAACAATAACTATAAAGTTGTAATAATATTTCTAATACTACGAGAACAATGGAGTTCGCACCACAACTATAACAATAACAAAACAGATGAATAATAGCGTTGATATTACTTTCAGAACATTTTTCCAAGCTGTTGAATTTAAGCATTTAAAGTGACAGACCACAAAACAGCTGTGTGTGCTTACGATAAATAGAACATTATTGTGCATTGGTGTCAAGCTAATATAGTTATTGTTGTAAACAATATCCCTTAAATATCCCTTCTTTTGCAGGTTTTGGTGATTCTGATCACACTTTTGATGAGAGCCTGCCTCCCTCTGTAAATGCAGTCACTCCTACCTCCTCTCTCTTTGACACAGCTGTTGCTGGTGAGTGCTTGCATTTAATTTGCCATTTATTTTCTTTCCCTCTTATTTGCGTTTATGCATTATATGTTGCTCAGGGTCTTTGTTTTGTGTCTCCCAGGAAAGAGTAAGATTGCAGTAGATGCTGCGGTGAAGTTTGTGAAGCAGCTCTTCAGATATGAACAGTGGAGCACGTTCAGCTCGCTCTCTACGGCACTTATGTCAGCACTAGCTGTGAGTACATCTGTGATATGGCTTAAAATGTCAGCCAGACTGCTATCTAGTTATTTTTTCTTGTACTGTTCACAGAACATGGAAGGCCGCGCATTTAGGAAGTATGAGCTGGAACTGAGGATTTTGGAGGCTGTGGAGCGTTTGATGTCCACTCAAAGAGTTAAATTCATCATGAAAGATGCTGCTTTTGATGGTCAAGCCGGTACTAATCACATTATTTGATTCACTCATAGAAAAAGACAAGCAAATGATGAAAAAAAATATATAAACAAAGTGGACTCGTTATTTATTTATTTATATTTTTGGGGTTATGTAAAATTCTTAAACCCAAAATGAACATCATCCCTCTTTTATTGTTTTATTCCCTTGCAGACAAGAACATTGTGGCAGCAATTATGACCGAAGAATTTTTCAATCTTATTCAGACACTTCATGCTTGTGTCTGCAGAACAGACAAGGTCAGGTCTTACTCTTGCTGTCTCTGAAGAGTTCATGGAGCTGTCATAGGTAACCTGACAATATGTATGTTTGTCCAAATAGGATATCCAGCCAAATGCAGACTTGGTGTTGGACATTGTGCTCTTCTTTTGGGCTAAATGCAAAACTGTCTTTCAAAGAGCACAGTCGAGACACTATGAACCTGTGCGCTACCTGGGAAGGATGGCAAACCAAGACCAGGTTATTATTTAAAAAAACAGTAAATCTAAAATGCTTATTATGAGAGACCAATTTTAAAAGCAATCATGGAGGTGCTGCTTTATAACATTAGTTGTTGAATCCATAACATGTAAGTGTTTGTTTTTTGTGTTTTGTTTTGTTCAATAGTGGGTGGAGACCCTCCTTTTGCTGTGTGAAGTGGCCCATGAGCACCAGCTGGCTGAAGTGGACTTCTTATTAGTGACTGAAATTACTCTGAGACTAGCCATGGTGCTGGAAAGCAGTGCGGACGCCCCACCACAGTCTGGGAGAAAGACAGGTACCATGTGCCACAAAGACGAGATTTCACACAGCAACAGTCTATATACAAATTATTGAACTATTACAACAGATGCTGTAAACATGAAAGATTTCCCAAAAATGTATCATGGTTTCCACAAATATAGTACACAGCATAACTGTTTTCAACAATGATAACAATATATGTTTCTTGAGCTTCACTTGAGCATATTAGAGTGATTTCTGAAGGATCATGTGATGCTAAAGACTGGAGGTAACGATGCTGAAAATTCAGCTTTGCCACCACAGGACAAAAATACATTTTAAAATATATTACAATAGAAATCAGTTATTTTACATTGTAATAATATTTCACAGTATTACTGTTTTACTGATTTTGAATCAAATAAATGCAGCACAAAAAAACATTTAAAAATACTTACCCTTCCCAAACTTTCAAACGATAGTTATTTTGCACTTTTAGTTATATATTTAGGCATTTTTCTGTGTGTTTTTCTTTCTGTAGCCACCACTGAAGATAGCAGCGAAGAGTCCATCCCTGTTAGAAAATCTGCAAGCTCCCTATTTATGGTATGTTGTCCCACGAGTAGAAATATAAGATAAAACCCTACTGAAAGTTCATGTTGTAGCATCATAAACGGTTCAGTGGCATCAGATTCAACATTTAGATTTTAAAGGGGTCATTGGATGGAAGTTGATATGATTCTTTAGGGTCTTAATGAAAAGTCGATAACATACTTTGGTTAAAATTTTTCAATGGTAGTTTAAAAAACACCCTTTTAAAATCAGCTCTTTTCACAGAAACCTGTTTTGTTGCATTTCCCTTTAAATGCTAATGAGCTCTGCTCACCCCGCCCCTCTCTTCTGTTGGGTGACAAGCTGTCCTGTTTACTTTAGCCGCGAAACTTGCTAACTAGCACATTATTAGGAAAGGCGATTTGCAAAGATTCATAAAAAAAACCCTTATACTCACTTCATCTGTAGGTGAAGCTGGATCACGAATGATTCGCTTGAACAAAGATGCATTTAGGCAGATCGGGGGCACATTCCCTTCAAAAACAAAAGTAACGTTAATCCTCTGCATCTTCAGCGGCTCAGATGTCGGGAGTAAATGACGACTGCTATGTTCATTATTACATCCAACAACAAAACACCTCAATCGCTTAGGAGCCATTCTTGTCTACGTCCCTGCTCCGGCGTCAAAACAATGGCGGTCGGACTGTTCACAGCTCACTCATGGCAGTGTCAATCAACTATCGTGGGAGTGGCCTTGGTCTGTGTGACATCACACAGCCAAGAAGCTGAGAATAGCTTGATTTGAAAAAGGGGATATAATTTATAGAGATTAAAAAAATACCACTGGTTGGATTTTTATCATTATAGGGTGGTTGTGTACACACACTGCCAACACACATTAATGTTCAAACAACATGTAAAGGTGATATTTGCATCCGATTACCTCTTTAAAGTACCCCTATTATGGGTTAGGAAAGTTCGTGTTTTTGTTTTGGGAGTCCACAGCAACAGGTTGACATGCATGCAAGGTCAAAAAACATTTTCATTGTCTTATAATATGCATTTATTTTTACCTTATTTGCTCAACGATTCCCAAACGATTCGTTCAACGATTCATTTTTCCAAACCCCTCCTTTGCGTGATGCTAATCTGCGGTGATTGGTCCGATGACCCAGTCTGTTGTGATTGGTCTACTGCATGCAGCACATGTAAGAAACGGAACGCCCATCAAGTTTTCCCGGGTCTGCGCACGCAACAAGTGGGCGGGCATAAATATGCTAATGTTTCATGTGGACGTCAACATAAAACGGCTAAAGATTTGTTTTAAAAACAACTCGTTTCAGTGACTCCGAGTCGACTCTTTCTTTTGAGAGATAATAATTTTATACACTGTGCACTTTCAGATTTAAAACTTTGCAGGATGTTTTCATTCACTTAGAGCTGTGTTACACACTGCATGAAAGGTAATTTTCAAAATTCCATAATAGGGGCACTTTAAACAAGTAAAATTACCTTAGAATCTGAGATTGTATTCAAACCAACAAAATCTAATGCAGTTGTATGGAATTGTGTCAGGGTTTAACCATAATAAAACTATATTTTTAACATGTGTGCAGAGGTCCAGAACTGAACAGCTGCAGACTGCGTTGGATGTGGTGGAAAGAGGTGTGAAATGTGTGTCCAGAGGAAGGGCCAGGTCACTTTATGGGGGTTCTGCTGTCTTTGACGAGGTGTTCATGGAGGCAAGAACATACCAAGTTTTGCTTACTGCAACACAAGCTCTGTTACATCCTGTTACTGTTGATACAGTAAGCATGCTTTATAATATGTCACATTTATCTTAATCACAGAAGTTTTGTGACACTAAGAGTTCCAAGAGCAACAGAGTCCCAGAAAGCAGCAGTACCTCTGACCTTGTTGCTCTTTCCATGGATTTACACATGGAGTTGCTGGTCTTCCAGCACAGACTAGCTCTCAAACTGTCTGATTCCTGGTCAGGTCAGAGAGACATGCAACCTTTCACCATATTAGTGAAACGCATTTTTATGCATGTCACTGAATATGTCATATTTGTTCTGCTCAGACGAGATGAGTTTGATGGAGTTTAAGAAGTCACATGCTATTCAAGCACAGGCCTCAGAAACAAATAGACCTACAGGAGGTGAGTTTCAAAACAATGCAATATTAACATATTGGCACCAAAACAGGTAGTCAGTTTTACACAGATCTACTCTTTAACAGACTCTGCGGTACTTGAAAAAATCAAGAAGAACAAGATCTCTAAGTGTGTTTTCCTAGCGCAGAAGGCCCTGTTGGCATTCAGGAAAAACCAGATGAGCCGAGAGACCAAGAAAATACTTGAGGTCAGTATTTCAATTGGTGTCATAAGACATGAGCATAACATGATGTAAACTCTGTTTTCATCTCTCCAGGAGGCCATAACGCTAATGGAGAAAGCTGAGCTTGAAGAGAGGAGGCTGGTTAGTTGTGCTTATCCTTCAGAGAACAATTTAGGAATGCCAGAGAAGAGACAGCCCCAGCCACCAGCCCCAATACTCCTCTCACGCTCCAACCTCTCCATGACCTTCAAACCTGCACAATATGCCCTTGAGGAGGAGGTTGTCACATCTTCTCTTTAAGCATCACTTTGATATGTTGATTACCCTTTGAATTTATTCCTTGATGTTCAGGTGTAAATGCTGAAGAACGCAATTTACTATTATCCTGATCTAGGTTAGCTGGTACTGTATTTATGGAAGAGAAGCAGAGGGTGTCAACCTAAAAGTACGACTTAAAGACTGCTACTTGAGTGGGACTGGAGATATGGTAGGGTTAATGGCGGTTTTAAATATCAGATCATGTATTTACCTTCCTTACTTTTTTATTAATGTCCGTATTGTCTATTCATACTGAAATGTTTGTACCTGAAATGAAATTTGTGTTTCAACCAGATTCCTGCCAGAGGTGAACATTTACTTCATGTAGACGGGTTGGAACCTGATAAGAAGTACATTTTTGCAGTGGCTGCTTTTAATGCTCAGGGTAAAATTGTGGGGGGTGCCATTGGAGAGACCACCAGGCCTCTACTTGCCTCCCTGCCTCTACCACTACTAACAACCTGGGCCCACATAGCTCAGGTAAATGGATCAAACATTATTGTGTGCCACGCAAAATAGCCATCCACTTGATGTTAGGTTTTATGTTGTTTAGGTAGCTTATCAGACAGGACTCTACTCCCTTGCTAAAAGAGCTTGTAATGAGCTTTGGAGCCACTTTACTCTTCCCTCAAACTCAAGTCCTGAGGGTCCAGAGCCAGAACAAGAAGCCTGTCTTGAAGGATTGGCTCAAACAAGGTTTAATTCAATATAATGTAATATAGTATAATATAATGTAAGATCATGTGTCTTATCAAATATCTGTTCTGTTTGTCATCTATTTTTATTTCATGTAGACTCCGCCCAAAGACCCTGCAGCTTTCTTCTCCTCTCCTCCAGCAGCTGTTTTTTTTCACCATTTTCATTCAGACAGATATTCATATTCAAGAGGAGGCACTATTCTGTGACAGTCTCTGTGATGGAGGGCCTTTGATCTGGGGCCAGGTTAGTGAACAAAGTGACTAAGATGAAATCAGCTTTATGGTGGGTTATATACTGCATTTAATCACAGCTCATGATAATACAGCCCAGTCTTTCCCAAGTAATTCATCCTTGTAAAGCTGATCTGTCTGCACATCCATCGCAGGAGGCCAGGCTTGCAGAGTGTGAAAGGATGCTGGTGGCCACTGATCTTGCTCTGCACCTCAATGACAGCAGTGGCGCCCTGCAGGCTGTAGTGAGCTGTTACGGCCTTCTCACTCCATTAATCTTCAACCAGATCCCTTCTGAGCCTGTTATAGAGGTGGCTACTTTTCTAAATGTACTTAATAATAACATATCAGGAGTTCCATAATTTCATGATCAAATCAGCTGTTTATATGATGGCTTTGCCATAGCAAAGGTGCATCTGTGTGTTTCAGGTGCTGTTAAAGTGCTTTACGGTGCTGCTGGAGATTCCAGAAGTCCTCAAGCAGAAACGGCCTGTTGCCACCACAGAGTCCCTGCAACACATGGTTGCCTGTATGACATATTATTTAGCCAAGGTAGTAATTACATTTACTGCTCACCTGTTAAGAAAGAATATGTAAGGAAGAAGTCTTTTGTATCATTCTAAATATCTTTACTGTCACTTTTTCTCAATTGAATGTGTCCTTGCTGAATAAAAGTATACATATTTTCTTCTTAAAAGCAAAAATAAAAATAAATAAAACTTATTGACCTCAAACTTTGATCCATTTCTGTGTGCTTTTAGAGCTTGTGCTGCACTCAGGAGAGTCGTATGGCATCATCTGTGTTTGAGCTGGGAATGAAGCTTCTTCAGGAGATCAATGAGCCCCCACAGCAACCTGCCAAAAAAACATCATCAGTGGAGCTGGATGGGGTTTGTGATGTCTTGTTTATCATAGATCCTCTGTGCTGCTGTAATAAATATTAATGTCAGTGCATGTGTGTTCGATTTTCAGAAGAAGGCAGCTTCCATCCATGATGTGGGGCCAAGCGAGCAGCTAAATGTTTTAGAGGCCATTGTCATGAAAACCATGCATACAGAAACATTAGGAAACCATGATGTCACTTCCTGCAACAAAACAGGTCCTTCTTTTTTCTCATATCTTAGATCAGGAAGCCAATGTTTAAAAAAATAGTAAACAATCAGTACAAAGTATGTTTGTACCGGCCTTTGATGCAGGGTCAGATGGATGTGAGCTTACTGGACAGGAAGATCCTGTTGTACTCTACATGGTGATTGAAAACAGCCCTCTCCAGCATGCCTTTAAAGAAGGTATATCAAAAAAACACATATAGATAAAATCTGATTCACTGAATGAGGTGTCATACACTCATTTTGTATGTTTGCATCTAGTGATGAAGTTCAAGCAGAAGTCTTGTTTTCTGGAGTTTGTTGCGCACTTGCTTCAGAAAGCCCTGCTAGAAGATGAGCTGGATCTTGTGTTGCAGTGGGAGCAGAACATCTTGAACTGGCTTAGCAGGTGTGTTTTTGTGTAGTCCATGCTTGCAATGAGTGTGTAGGTGTTCTGAGTTACATTTCTTTGCTTTCTGTAATATTTCTAGACGTGATGAGGCTTTGTTCGGGCTAAAGAAGAACTCCGGTCTACCAGGGGAGGAGTTTAAAGACTTCACAACCTCTGTAATTGAGTACAATACCAAAGTAAGCTTCTGTTTCATAAAATGTGTTAACATATTGCGACACATTTGAACACATTTGCACAAATTAAATGCATGTTCTCTTTCAGTTTATAAATATTCTCTGAATCTATGTTTCAGAAACAAAAAGATGGCACATTTTGGGATGGCAGGAAGTTGCTACAGAAGAAAATTCTGATTGCATTCAAGAGCCAAAACTCTCAAAAGTAAAACAATATTCAGCCCAGCTTGCAAAACAGTGAAATATTACATCTTTAAAATCAATTTTTTTAAAGTGTAGTCATGTACACTAACATTCAGTAGTTTGAATTCTGTAATTTTTTTTTTTTAAGTTTTTGAAATGTATGCATTTATTTTATCAGAAATGCAATGTAAAATCAGTAATATTGTGAAATATTATTATAATAAGAACTGTTTTCTATTTGAATATATTTTCAATTTTAATTCATTCCGGTGATAGCAAAGCTGAATTTTCACCAGCCATTACTCCGATCTTCAGTGTCACATGATCCTTTAGAAATAGTATTATAAAGTATTAATTTCTTATAAAAAAAAATCTTATGTGATTATATCTTTAGAACTTTATCTGTATTTGCTGTTGTGTCCCTCAGAGAGGTCAGAGCTGTGGACATCCTGCTAAGTCAACTGGCTACTCTTATCAGAAGACATCAGCGCCGTTGGAAGCTGAGGCAGATGCGCTCTGAGGATTCACTGTGGCGTTGCCATGTCAATCTGAGTCTGGCTTGTGCCAACCTAGGCCTGCTGAGGAGGAACCTGGGACCACCAAAGCTCTGGTACTCAGATCTAACAGCAAAGCTGAAAACCGAATAATGCCAAATAATACATTGTGATGTCAGTTTGGGTCTTCAACCTCAAGTTCATCTTAATATCAAGACTTTTTTTCTGTTCTGTTAATACCTTTTGATTATTATTTTCTCTGGACCTGTTCGATTGAAACTTGAGCTTTTTTTCCATCCTTTCCAGTTTCAGCCATCTTTCGCAGTCTTTGTTTTCTCTGGCTCACTGTGGAATGCTGATTATGTGGAAGAACGTTCCACAGCACATAAGGCCACCTGAACTGACTCTTCCACATCCCAAAGCTGTACCCCGTCCTAGACGCCGTGCTCACAAAAAGGAAGTGAAGCACAAAGTTAAAGATACTAATCAAGGTAGGTTAAAGTCCCTTTAGCATGACAGCTCTACACTTTTGTGACAGAATCTACACTGTTGTTCACTGTTGTCTCCAGTGTCACATGATCCTTCAGAAATCATTCTAATATGCTGATTTGGTTCTTATGAAACATTTCTAATTATTATCATTGTTGAAAGCTGTTTTTTTAGGATTCTTACTGACCCTAACCTTTGAATGGTAGTGTAGATCATTACATGTAGATGCACTATATGATTATCCTAATTTACACTACATCCTCAGAAGAACCAAATAGCAGTGACGAGGAGTTCAACTCTGCAGAAAGTGATGTTGAAGGTGAAGTGGACTTTCAGCACACCCACGACCCTGAAGCTGACGGCACTCCTGCTCATCAAACCACATCTCAGTTACTGGACACACTCAACAAAGCCTCTGTACACATGCGCAGAGCTATGGTAAGTGCAATTTTATTTTAATAGCCCTAATTTGCCATGCTCTTTATCTTGCTATTCTAGCGACAACATCTCTCATTTTATTCCACAAGGTGCTGGCACATCGGTGGGGTCACTGGACAACTTTACAATGGGCGTGTCGGACTCTCTGGGACCAATCCAGCACATTGGGCCTGATGTTAGAGCGAACCCAAGGCCCGGATGCCCATGCCGGACGGCTGACGATAGAGCAGCTATATACAGTGATCACTCCCCTACTAGTACTGGCCTCAGATCTTCTCATGGATATGATGGAAAAGCTGAAGGTTAATCCACATCACCTCTGTGCATTTGTTCTCAAACTTATTGACTTAAAGGCCCACTGTCCAACACATTGTTCAAAGGCCCTCTAAATAATAAAAGAGGGGGGGTATCATTTCAGTTTTAATTTAATTTAATTTAATTTAGGATTTTGAGTCAGATAATTAAAATGATTCATACTAATTATTTTATTAAATTAAATTAATTAAATATTAAATTTTTTCAGTCATCCTGCAGCTCCCTTAAAAGTTACTTGATAATGATTGGTCATTTGCACCATTCTGCAGTCAAATATTTTTAAAATGACAGCTAAACTGTAAAGATATCTTTCATATTTGTTTTCTTTTTATTCTGTAGCTGTGGAATGTGTATGATGATCAAGATGTAGAGCTTGAGGCCAGCCTGTACTTCTCTGCTCCAGTGGATGACGGGACAGTTATAGATTTGCGCTGGCTGAGGACTCTGGTTCTGCACACATTAGAGCTTCTGTACTATCAGGCCAAGTGGGAGAATCTCGCCCACCTCGCCCTACTTTTCAATACATGTACTAGGTATGCTATTATCTCACTGATGCTGGTGTAGCATTAATTTGTATACTTGCTGAAAGTAAACAAGTAATTGAAATGTTCATGAATATAATTTCTCTTGCAAAAGTGTATTGAAATGCAATGCATCATGGGTTTCAGGGAGCGCTACTCTCACATGGTAACACCTGTTCTGGTGCATGCGCAGAGGAGGTTGTTGGACAGGATCAGCTGTTTCGGGGGCCCTCCAGCCCCTCAACCTCACTTCACCTACACTGAGATGATCTCTGGAGAGAAGGTAGACAGAAATTATCACATACACATCATTTTGATTAACTTTGACAAGAGCTGCTTAAAATTTTGAGTTCACAGCCTGTTCAATGTAAACCTTTATAATGGATATTCCAGTTGTGCGTCCATTAGAGTTGGAAAAATGTCTACATTTTGTAACTGACGTCCATAGGTGACATGCAGGAATTATGCAAGCAGACAGTTACTGTTTCCCTGTGGAGGAGGTCAGATTATGATCACTGACCCAGAGCCCAAGAAACTGGCAGGTACAAAAAAGGGTTGCCAGGTCCCATTTATTTTCTGATTAATTTACCATTTTGTGCATTTTGCATGTCATATTTATATAATGACCCAAATGTATAATTTATTTTTTTAAAAGACCATAATTAAGTCTTATGTGTGTGCTTTATAATTTACTGAAGATGTGAAGAGAGCCATGTGTCTGGTGTGTGTACCGTTGGATGTAGAGGACACACTGCAGTGTTTCAGAGAGACACTGGAGAAAAGACATCACACACTGCTGACCTTTCAGCACAGCCGAACTCTACTCCTTCTGCTATTGGCGGACACACAGCACTGTAAGTCTTACACACGCCACTAAGTTTGGGGTCATTACATTTTTTTCTTGAAAGAATTTAATCGTTATATTTAGCAAGGACACATTCAATTTATCAAAAGTGACAATAAAGACATTTGTAATTTCAATTCCTCAAAGAATCCTGAAACAAGTGTTTTCAACATGGATAATAATCACGATGAGCACCAAATTGGCATATTATATTTTTGATCAAATTATCAACCTTGGTGAGCTTAAGAGACTTAAAAAAATAATCTCACAAACCCTAAACTTATTTAATGAAACATATGTTAAATATAACAAATTATTTAATTTTTGGGCCTTGTCCTCCCTCTGGAATTTCTAACAGTTTTTTTTAGAATGGTGGTTTTCAATTTGTGAGCAAAAGAAGGTCTGTGGTGAACATTACTTGACGAGAGTTTCATATTAAATTATATATAAATTAGAAAAAGTTAAAACCACAAAACTTATTTTACTTCTAAATTGAAAATTGCTATTTTGAAAACCATTTTGGGAACTCATGGCATTCAAAGTCTCTTCTGTGTTTTAGGGCTTCAAACTATAATATACAATTATATATGCTATAACTCTACTTTGTTTATTCTTTCAATCACACCCTTTATATGTGGCCTCAGCATATGTTGAGGTGCCATTCTCTAAAGAGAACAGCGGCATTCTGCAGGGAAAAGTGGAATTCAGCATGGCAGCCAGCACCCTGCCAGGCATCAGCCCTCCAGACCTCTCTGTAGAAGACTTCAGCTCTTTGGGCTCCATTTACAGCACCACCCTGCCTCCAACACAGCTCCAGACTGTTTTCTCTTCCTACAACAATTCTATTAGTGAGAACCGTTCTGAAATTTGAAATCTTGCAAGCAGAGTTTGTTCAAGAACAAGCTTTTGCAGTACAGATATATGTTTTTTGTTGTTTTATGCAGAATATCTTCAAGCAAATAAGTACAACTCCCTCCAGGTGCAAGCTCTCCATGAACTTGGAACCTTGCATTTCTACAATGGAAATCGAAAGTATGATGTGTTCACTGCATTATTTTCCTGCTTTAATTATTATTAATTAGAGAAGTTGTACTGTATATGTTTACACTACCTTTTAGAAGATTGTGGTTGCTAAGATTTTTTAATGTTTGTGAAAGAAGTCTCATATGCTCACCAAGGTTGCATTTATTTGATCAAAAATACCTTGAAATGAAGCAATATTGTGAAACTATCATTGGTCAACTAACTTTTCTATTTTAATATATTTTAAAATGCTATTTATTTCTGTGATGGCACAGCTGAATTTTCAGCAGCCATTACTTGTCATAAGTCTTCAGTGCCACATGATCCTTCAGAAATTGTGCTGCTTAATATCTTTGTGCATACATTTCAGAATTCTTTGATGAATAGAAAGTTCAAAAGAACAGCGGGTTTTTTTTTTTATAGAAATCTTTTGTGACATACATTTCTATACTGTTATTTACTGTTATGGTCAATTTAATGCATCCTTGCCAAATAAAACTTAATTTCTGTAAAATAAATCTTACTGACCACAAACATTTGAACAGCAGTGTAGGTAATCAGATGTTTTGATTTCACACCATGTAAGGACAAAAAAAAGCTTTTTTTAAATTAATATGTGTTTGTTTGTGTCTAGATCCGCACACTCTTTCTGGAGTAAGGCTTTGGACTGTGCTCTGCAAAGCTCTGGAGTTCTGGAATCTTGGGATGGTGACTCATGGGGCAGCAGCTCCTCTCAGGAAACCCTGCGGCATGCTGGAGTATGGGGCTGTCTTCAGGGAGCTTTGCTTTCAGCCAGGATTGCACAGTAAGTGAGAAACCATAAAGCGTATTTGTGACTTTGCTTCATTACAGCAGTATGATTTCCCCTCTAATGACAGGCACATCCTGACTTCCAACATCGATCAGCGCACAAAGTGCTGCCTTCTCTCTGGCAAACTCTTCAAGGTGAGAACTGAGTCACTTTATGTAGAGTTGAAAAAGTAGTGTTTTGAACTCAGCTAATGAGGAATTATGACCAGCAGCACCCATGTCAACACTCAGAATTTAATAAGGTCATATCCTCCGCAGTGCCTACTGATGGCCTCTATGCCCCATCCGATAACAGACCTGTCCTACTCCACGTACTCTGTGGAGACGGCGCTGATCCCAGGTATCGACCTCTTCTCTGAGCCAGATCGGGGGAATCTTGGCACCACTGTTGCCAGTTTGTCTTTTGTCTGCCACTGGCTGTATACCTCAGGACACCTTCTCAAGGTACCAGAGCAACACTCATTGACACTTATATTAAGATGGTTACATTTGTGCATTTTACAGTTGATGTCTGAACTTAATATTCAACACATCGTACTGCTTATTTCAGGTTCTTCCTGTGCTGGCTCTGTACCTGTATATTGCCAGAACAGTGTGTCGGGATCTACACCTCACTGTCACATGCAGAATACTGAAGGTTTGAAAGATATTGTTGTCTGTTGTAAATCTTGTAAATCTGTGTTTCATTGAATGTATTTGTCTATTTGAGACTTATGGGTTTATATTAAGTTTCTTTGTGTATACAGGTAAAGGTATTGACCGAGTTGGGGGCCTTCACTCAGGCATTTAAAGAACTCAGCAGTCTCACAATTGGCAAGGAAATCCCTGTACCTCATGCAGGCCACCACAGAGCGGAGAAGCCATCTTGGGTAAAGCAGCATAAACAATTTAAAAAAAAAAACCCAGTTGACAAAAGCAATACATGCAATTATTTTCTTTACAGTAAAGTGTAGAGTTGATATGTTTCTTTAGCACCAAATCAGCATATTAGAAAGATTTCTGAAGTATCATGTGACACTGAAGACTGGAGTAATGGCTGCTAAAATATTCACATTGAATCCCACAGGCAAAGGAAATATTTAATGAAGGGAACCCGCTGTTGGATTCTTCCAATCTTCGAGTAAGTTTACCTGTTTTTACACATGTACATCAAGTCATTGACAACATACAGTACTGTTTGTAAAAAGCATAATGCTTTGTGTGATCTTTTTCTCAGGTTATGGAGGAAGTGGTTAATAGGAGGCCATGTAAAGACATTGTGGCTCTTTATGGCTCAAGATTGACCAGGCAGCTCCTGATGGCCAGAGCTAATCTCATCTTGGCTATATGTAGCACTATACATGACCTGCCTGAGCCACTTACTCCAGGTATCATTTCAGTACTATCTTATTATGGACAATTACAGATTATAAATCTTCATAACACATTACTGAGTTATTTTCTTTAACCCACAGAGTTATCCGAATCTCAGGAGAAACGCTCTAGCACTTCCTGTTTGCCTGATGTCTCCAGCAGTGACGAGTCCAAGGTTCTCCAGCTCAGTGCCAGGAAACTCACATTAGGAGAATTCAAGGTGCTCCATTTTACCGTTAAAGCTTTCCAACTTTCATTTCTGTTAAATTGTTCTTCCAGATGTAGGCCTATAAAAGCATTTTAACATTATTTGGCCCTATAGCATTAATAGCTGTAAAGTATAAAGTTATAAACACAAATATAAATGCATCCAGCGAATGCCAAGAACATAATGTCTCTTTATTGCCCCTTTCAGGCCATACTTTTAAAAGAAGCACATGCTCTGGTTAGTCCAGAGCTCTTCACCCCGCATCCTCTGAGCACCGATCCTGAAGAAATGGAGCTGGCAGTGGAGATCAGACTGTTAATGTCCAATATCAACATGCAACAGGGCAGAATGTCTGCAAGGTAGTACAGAAACTTAAATCTTGAGGAAAAATGCATGCTTGTGAAGGTGTCTACATGAACACTACTGTTACAAAGTAGTAACAAAGTTTGGGATCAGTGTGATTTTTTAAAGAAACTAGTATTTTTATTTAGCAAGGATGCATCAATTTATTCAGAAAATATGAGTAAATACTTTTATAATGTTCCAAATAAATGCTGTTCTTTTGAACTTTAAATTCAGTGAAGAATTCTAAAAAAAAAATGCATCAGGATTTCCAAACAAATATGAAGCAGCAGGAGTAATGGCAGCTAAAAATTAATCTTTGCCATCACAGGACTAAATTACATATTAAATATATTAAAATAGAAAGCAGTTATTTTAAATTGTAATACTATTTAGCAATATTACTGTATTTTTATCAAATAAATGCAGTCTTATATGAGGGCATATGAGCATATGAAACTTTCAAAAACATTAAAAAACCTAACTTTTTATGGTATTGTATGTCCCTGGGGATGCATGCTTGTCTGTATGTTTGAATTCATTCTAAATCTAAACATCTTTCCTCTCTATTGTAGTGCAGATCTGTCAGTGTCTGCTTTGAGGCTCCTCCAGAGGTCTCCTGTGTTTCAAAGTGATTTCCGCCCACTGCCTCCTCCCGGACCACCCTCCTCTGCTCTCAGACGACCCAGAGCCAAAGCACATCAGGTAATAATAATCAACCTCTGATTTACTTACATAAATTCAGTACTTAATTCAGATCTTGCGTCTGTTTCATTAGGCTTTTATCTTGCTGTCTTTTTCTCTGCAGACAAGCTTCCGGGACGCAAAGTCTGTTCTCGATCTCCATAGCGGAGATGTTCCAGAAGAAGTGGAAGCGAGAGAACGCATGGATCTCCTTTTCTGGCTGCGCTGTAGGCTGGCGGTAGTTCGCTCCCTTGTAGGCCATATCCCTGGAACTGCAATCTGCTCTGGTTAGCTGCTTTGCAAAGTTTAATGTGGTGTAAATGTTGCTGGATGTAACTGGTATTTGGTGTTTTTTGACCACTTGTGCATGTTTGTGCAGGTGCGGACAGCAGTACAGAGGCGCGTCGACTGCTGAAAGAGGGTCTGGAGGAAGCCGAGGCCTGTGGAGACCCTGACACTAAAGCCCTGCTGCTCCTACAAGGTGTCCAACTCAACATACACCGTGGCAGACCCAGAGAAGACAGTACGTCCATGCTACAGGTCAGTAGTTTGTCATGACAGTTGATTTTGATTTAGTGCTATTTGACTCTTTCTGTTGGCTGATGTGTGTCATGTGTGTCTGTTTAGGAGATTGTGAGTTTGTTATCTGGCCGCAGTGCTCTATCTCTGCGCTCTCAAATGACTCTAGCTGAGGCTGTGTTACTTCTTAGTGAGCTGAGAGGAACAGGAAGCCAGACTCTCCACCTGCTCACACAGAAACTACTGCAGCAACAGGTTTTTGATATTATTATGCTCAAAATGTTTGTTGAAGCATGACACAAGTAGATATTCATGTGAACTTAACCTTTGTTGTTATCTGTGTTAAGACAGTAAAAATTTTATAAAGATGTATAGCTCCCAGATTAGGTCATTTTGAACATATACAAACAACAATATAAAATTTATGTTTTACATATTTTATAGTGGTAATAATGTTCTTTGTTTTCAGCTCTGTGCCTTTGGAGAGTCCATAGGTCTCAAAAAAGGAGGCGAGGTGGAACTACTAGCTGGCCTAAAGAATATTTATCTTCCACAGCTTCCCCTGCTGGCAAAGACAACCATGCGGATTGGTATGACAAGAGCAAAAAGGCAGAACTGTATAGATATTCCTCTAACATTCTGGTTAGGGGTTTGTTCTAAATATAACTCTTAAGTATTAAACTTATGGGGAAGTCGTGGCCTAATGGTTAGAGAGTCGGACTCGTTACCCTCTTGACATGTATTTAAGCATTTAATTTACACTGAATCAAATGTCAAACCAAAACAATTATTTTGCTAAGCCATGGCTATTTCTTTCTAAAAATGACTCAGCAGATGCTGTTATGATGAATATTGATTCTGTCTGTTCTAGGTCACTCTTTGGCATTGCAGGCTTTGTCAAGTTCCTCTGAGGGAGGTGAGGAACCCTGGAGGCCCTTAATATCTGCTCAGGAAGTTCTGCAGTGTGCGCTCAGCATCTCTCAGGCCTCTGCCAACAGAGACCGCCTGCTGGAGGCTGATATCCTGTACTGTACAGGTGACCAGTAGGGAGTAATCTTTATATCTAGCATCTTCTCTTGTGAACCAGTACTAATTGTAGATGGTCGATCTTTTGTGTCTGCAGGAGTGGTGGGCAGACATCTCATTTCCATGCAAAAATCTGATCCCCAGAAAGTCCTAGAGGCCTTTTTTGGGTGTTTAACCACATTTAACCATACACTTAGCCAAAGCTTGCGGTAAGTTGTTTTACTAAAGTTCTCCTCTAATTCTGTTCAAACATGACTCACATTTTTATGCATGTGTGTATTTCAGGTTGACCCATACTTGCTACCTGGAAATGGCATTGACATACTTGCAAGAGTGCGAGCAGATTATCTCACCCTCTGAAAATCTGACTCCAGCACCTGACGAGACCAGAAAGGTGCTGTGAAATGTGACAGAGTTTGAGAATAACAGTAGAGTACTTTTGTGATATTTATGTGTTGTTTCCTTAGGAAACAGTCAGAGAGACCTGCCTTCTGCTCTGCTGGATTTGTTTGAGGATAGCTTTAAAGGTCTGTAAGGACATCATCCACACATCTGTATGAAGTGTGTTCAATATAAATGATATCCTTGTTCTATCCTTTTGTTTTCTAGACATCAGAAGTTATTGGCAAATGTGGCCATTTGCACGGATTCACTGGAGTTACTGAAAGCCCTGTACCCCTTTCCTCAATAAAAGCCCTGCCTGACTTTGCATTGAATGATCTCTTCCACCCCTGTGGTAAACTTTAACCCAAAATCACTGCACAGTGCACAGTCTGCACACATTACAAACATTCAGTATTTATTTTTGCATTAGACATAGGATTTCAAGTCTTGTATTGGATTCAAATTGGTGTCATTTTAAATAACTTTAATGCATGTACATGTGCTGATCTCATTGGCAGGGGGGCTAGAAAATGCTGAGAACTGTATCACCAGTCCTGAGGCATTCATGGATGCTGAGCATGAGATAAACAGCAGGAAATGCTCTCAGCTGACCTGGGTTCATATGTCCCGCTACTACATGCACTTAATCAACCTGCTACAGGTCTCTTCACAACCAGGTACAGGAAAAATAACTCTTTAAACTAGTTTTTTTTTTATTCAGTTCATTCAACAATTAATAAATATAAACTCTGAAAACCTTTGTACTGTATATATGTTTTTATGTAATGATGGTGATGCTTTTTATGTAATTATGTAATGGTGGCTGTGTTATTCAGGAGCAGTGCAGGGTGTTGATGGGCTGCTGTCCATGTCCGGTGATCCTAAATTTGCTCTCAGACTCTCCCAGTTACACACCTTCTTTAGCCATCACCAACCCTCTTACAGAGAGCAGTGGGCTGTTCCTGATCCCTCTGCAGCTCTAATACTGAGGCATCAGAGAATACAGGTTTCTATTCACACATGCATTCCCTTATCACCAAATGATAATAGAAAAAATAAAATCATTATTGTTATCTCTCTCCTAACTCCTGCCAGCGTGACCAGCCATTGTCAGATCTTTACCCCTGGGCCAGCACTGACATGCAGGAACTGAGCATCCAGTGGTACAGACCCATGTCAGAGGACAACACGGTAATCAGACCTTCGAGTTTTTACAAATTATTTGAACTCGTGTTTTTTTCTTTTAGTTATTAAGAGTACGTTTTTGAAACTATCTGTCCTTTATTTAAATTAAATGGTTCTCTCTGTAATAAATATCAGTTCCTGAGCAGAGTTCTATTTGATCTCTTTAGATTCTGCTTCTCTTCGCTGTAAATAATGTTCCTCTATCAGCAATGAACCCTATTGCAGACGCAATGGCAGCACTACAGGCTGGACAGAGAGCGATCTGTTTAGACAGGTAGATTTTGTTTATCTATCCAAAGACAAACCTTATTTTGTGTTGGATACACATACACTGTTTTTACAGAGTGCATTATTGTCAGCAAGGGGACTGTGGTTTAGATTGAAGTGGTAGTTAATTGAGTTTTGTTTACTCTTATTGCTCCATCCAGGCTGAAAGCTGTTCATGCACTGCTGAACACAGCATGTGTAAAGGTTGATGGGCATGTTTCATCATCCACCAGCTCAGCCTCCTCCAGCCCAAAAGAAGAAAAGGAGCAGAACAGAACGGCTACGTCCACCCCTCACCGTCAGGTGTCTCCGAGTCCTAAATCACCATGTTGTACTTTTGCACTAACCCTAAATGTAGAGCACACTGAATTTACCGCTCTTTGTCATTCATCTACAATGGTTTCTTTTAGGAAATGCTTTTGGAGAAAACTACACACATCTGCTCTGAGATCAGGAATTTACTGAAGTCTGATTTAAATTTAGCACCCATCACAGAGGTAAAGTGTTAGTTTGGCCACATGTCATGTCACTTTATGCAGTTAATTCAGCTGCTTAACATACAGAAATGTTGTTTTGTAATTTGCCTTGGGTGTGCTGTTTATTTTGATTAATGCATGGAATTCTCCCATTGACTTACACTGAAATAATATTCAGAATTGAAAATGTTACGTGATCTTCTGGTCTTCTTTATTAGTTGTCATTGCTCTTGTCTTGACATGTATTTAAGCATTTAATTTACACTGAATCAAATGTCAAACCAAAACAATTATTTTGCTAAGCCATGGCTATTTCTTTCTAAAAATGACTCAGCAGATGCTGTTATGATGAATATTGATTCTGTCTGTTCTAGGTCACTCTTTGGCATTGCAGGCTTTGTCAAGTTCCTCTGAGGGAGGTGAGGAACCCTGGAGGCCCTTAATATCTGCTCAGGAAGTTCTGCAGTGTGCGCTCAGCATCTCTCAGGCCTCTGCCAACAGAGACCGCCTGCTGGAGGCTGATATCCTGTACTGTACAGGTGACCAGTAGGGAGTAATCTTTATATCTAGTTTGTCATTTCTTTTCTAAATAGTGTTTATTTATAGTGTTTAGTTTAATTTATATACTATTATAGTATTTAATATTTTTCATTTTAGTTTAATTGTATGTGCTTTTTTATTGTTTTTTTATACATTTCGATTTAGCTTGAATTTATCTTTATTTCAGTTTTAGTCATTTAAAACTTAAACTTTCAGTTAGATACCAAGGCAGCATTTCAAATTATTAAAGTTGTTTAGGTTTTTCATCTAATATTAATTTCAACTAAAACATTTTAATAACAACACAGATTCTAAACGTATTATGATTGAAAAAAAACTCCTGACAGATGTGTGTGTATGATTTTGTCACAAATATGTGGTTGTACCCATGCAGATTCCCTTTGACCCAAGCATGCAGACTCTTCTGAACCTGGAACGCTGCTTTAATCATGCAACAGGTGGCACACTGCAAGATACAGCCCTCATAACATGGCTCCTCTCTCTTCTGAGATAAAACCCACAGCCTTGATCTCTAGATTGATGAGATAAAACAAAATACCCCAACTACACATATTTAATATGCTATAAAAAATTCAATGTTTTATTTAACACCAAATAAAGAGGACAGCACTAAAACATGTATTAATTTATTTGTTTCTGCTGAATGAATGTCAGCAAAAGCTTTTTTTTTTCTTTTTTTTACATTTTTACATCAACATACTCTTCATAATTCCCTTCCCTTCAGTTCCCTTTTAATACTGTAGCTCAGCTGATGTAGGATATTTCATTCAGTCATATCTGAAGTATAACAGGTGTTTTAGTGCTTGGTAATGCTTTGTTAGTGCTGCTTTGGGTGATTTATGATTGGTTGAGCCAGGCTGAACGGAGGTTGAGTAGGATCTGCACGTCACTGGGGGCCAGCTTATAGACTCCCAGCTCATTGAGTGCCGACTCTGCACTGGGCTGCTGATGGTTCAGAATGCCCTCATCTTCCTCTGACTGCTTCAGCACATCACAGAACAGCAGTGCCGGGCCGACCTTAAGAGTTAGGATGATGCAGGCCTCCTTCACACTGAGACGAGGAAACAGAGAAATTAGACTCAGGTTTTTCTAAATATTAGCTCTGATTAAACACACTTACTGTTTGAAGAAGTTTTCAGGTCTCTTGCAGTAGTGTCCAAAAAGAGGGAAGAGGTTTCTGGTCATATCGTATTGAAGCTGTGCCGCCCCGCCTTCATTGAAATGGTTATACAGGATCAGCTAAGGGTGAGAGCAAAAAAACAGATATACAACACACTCCAACAAACTACTGTATGCAGATTTGAAGTACAGTTAATCCTGACTCTCTTTCTTTAACCATTCTACGTTTTTACATTTGATTTTGAGGCTTAAAGATACACTACCATTAAAAAGTTTGGGGTCAGTAAGAAAAAAGAAATGAATGCTTTTATTTAATGAAGATGCTTTTAACTGATCAAAAGTGACAGTATTTGTAATAATATTTCAGAATATTACTGTTTATACTGTAGTTTTGATGATAGAAATGCAGCCTTGTTGAGTATAGGAGACTACTTTCAAAAACATTTGATAAATCTTACCAAATTGAAACTTTTCAACATTAGTGTCAGCATTAGCTAATCCACATTAGTTTATGGTAAATTAAAGTTTAACAGTGAAAAGTTGAAGCAAGAGACTGACGTCTTCGTAGATGAAGCTGTCGAGTCTCTCGGCGAGGCCCTGCCAGAACATCTGAAACAGAGGAAGACACAACATCTGCTGCAGCTGGAGCAGGTGATCCCTCAGGCAAAGCATCATGGGACATGCAGAGCTGGATAATGACATAGTGGCTTGATCGCTCTGTGATGGCAAGGAGATCCACCTGAAATAGTCCAGATTCACTTCAGACACTTACAATTCAAAACCTGATACAGAAAGTGCCCTGATAATAATTCCACTATGTCACCATGCCTCCAGCTACCCAGCGATCACTGCTCAGATTGAACTAATTTTCTAGTTTCCTAATTTCAGAGAACTAAAGAACCATTTAGGAGTTCTTGAGGCCTAAAACTAAACATGGACAAAAAGCACATCCTCATAAGGCATTGTTTAAACTTTCTGTTAACGCAACTGTTTTTAGGTTATTCCCACCCATACCTGTCCTTGCAGTATGGCTGTGCCTTTTCTTTAACGTCTCTCATGACTGCATCCAGTAATCGTCCCAGCATGTCTCCTCGTAGCCTTTCCAGCAGGGCCAACAGGGCCTCAAACAAAGATCCTTCCAGAGAAGCCAGACGCCCCGTTTCCATGGCCCCAAGAGGACCTAGGATCTCCTCACCATCTGACACTGCAGCCTGCTGCAACTGTAAGAAGAACTGAGAGAAAACAAAAGGAAAGTGATTTTGTGCACATATGTGTTTCTGTTCTCAATCAAGACTTTGAAAAAATATTTTATAATTTTATTTATTAATGGATCAAGGATGAATAAGAGGGTACAAAACTAAAATAAGGTAGAATCTTAAAAAAGTCTTACAAATGTACTATTTGTATTCATGTAGACTTGATACTTTTATTTATTTTTCTAATTTTAAATAAATTACATTTAATAATGCTAAAAATGTATTGTGGTTTAACCATTATTAAAAGGAATATTTAGCTCATAAATTGAATACACATGAATGTACAGTACACTATTTTTTTAAATATATTTTTCAAAAATTCTTATAGTAATATATATATATTTAATTTTTATATATTTTTAAATACTGTTATATTTAATATCATGAATTATTAATTCATAAATATTACATTTTTGAGTAGTCGCCCCACATGACGTTTTACAACCTGAACTAAACTTTCCTTGTCATAAAAAGGTCAAAATATCTGATATTCTGATATATATCTGACAGTCATGTTAGTTACACCACATGATTTGGGAAATTTGGTGGACAAGACTTCTTCAAATATTAATAAGCAGTTTTGTGTATATATATATATATATATACAGTGGGGCAAAAAAGTATCATAGTTGAGGTATACCTATGATGAAAATTATCCTGCAGTTTTTAGCTCCAACTAGCTTCAACACAACTCATGTTTCTAGTGAATCAGAACACTTTGATTATTTTGGTTCAGGTGTGTTTAATTAGCACTGGAGCTAAACTCAGCAGGACAGTGACCCTCCAGAAACAGGTTTGGACACACCTGCCCTCGTACAAATTCCTGTTAGCCTCAGTGTGACTCAAAAACACTTACAACATTGTCCCCCCAGTCACTGAGAACAGTGGAGATGTAGTTGGCAGCATTGAGGATGGCACAGTAGCGAGGGCTCAGCGGCTGTCGGGACTCTTCTTTCATGACCTGCGTGAGGCGGATACGGAAATCATCCACCAGCTCCTTCTGCAAAGCCAGGAAACTGAGCTGAGCCCGCGGACATGGCAGAGCACGGTACCGTTCTAAGAGATGGATTGCAGAGAGATTTAGAAACAAGTCTTAACCTTAAGAATCAAATATGAGGATGATTTTTTTTTTTTTGATACCTGTGATGACCAGCAGAAGGGTCATGAAGGTCTCGGCACAATCTGGTGCTTTGAGCTCATCCATATCAGTGATGTCTTTGTACTGAGAGCTCCAGGCTCCCTCTGCAGACAGCATAGCATCCACTTTTTCCACAGCCACTAGAGAGCAACATACAACATTTAATTTACCATAGAAACTGAAAGTTTGAAGTTCAAATTCGTAGCATTAACACTCACTCTTTCTCTCCACACTGAGCCACTTCTGTAACACGGTCTCCTCCAGTAGTATGTGCAAGATGCCGGGGTAGGCTCGCGGGTAACTGTGGGTGCTGCGGAGCTCTTTTTCGAACTGTAGCACCTCGTCCACTAGGTGACAGAAGAGAGCATCGTCGTAGAGCAATCGAGGAGCGTCCTGGGAAAGCTTCTCCTGCACCAGTGTCAAGAGTCCCCTGCACAGCTCCACCTGGAGGACAGATTGATAAGACTTTAAGGCCTACAGATGGCTTTGCACTAAAGCGGAATTAGCTACAGATCTTCTCATTCATATTGTGATGTACATTTAAGTGACATGTATTATAGAAAAAAATGGTTCTATCATAGGTTGTTGATTGGATGGAGGCCGATCTGAATGCAAGCTTGCAGTCAATTGTAAGAAAGGGACGGGGATTTGACAAATCTGCCATACGTCACCAAAGAGAAAACGGTTGATTGGTTGAGTTTTTGATTAAAAAGTACATGGTTAAATAAATAAAAAATCAATAATATGCATCTAGAAAAACCGATGCAATTATGAACATACCCTTGCATTAACTTTGGCTCCAGCACGATCCAATATAGGCTGAATCTTCTCATCCATGAAGTTGGAGCTGTTTCCCATCCAAATGAGGACTTGGGTCAAATACCACTCTGGCTGTAAAGGTGAAAGATTTAAGTTAATATCATATCATTGATGTACATATGATAATTTATCAATAGTTTGCCTACTCACACAAATGTGTAATCGCTAACCTTGCTTAAGTTGTTGGTCTGGCGGTTCCCAGTGAAGTGATATCTGAACCTCTTACTGAGGGGAAGCAGCATGATCTGAATGGGCAATGAGAGTGGAGGAGTCTGGGACTGCTCTGGACGCGACAGAGTTTCTTTCTTCTCTGATATAAGGTCATCGCTTCAACACCTGTTAAGGAAAATTACCAGCTTTGCACCTTAAATAATAAAAATTTATAAAAATATAAAATAACCTAAATAAATTTCAGAATAAGTAAAAAAAATACTGTAAATAAAATAAAATAGTTGGTCTTAACAGTATCTTGTGTAGTTTCTCACACAACCAGCTTTGTATATTTAAAACACAAGAAATAAAAATTAATGCATAAATAAAAAAACATAACATCATAATATAATAATATAGTGTGTAGTTTGTCTTCCACTTTAAGCAAATTGTTGTGAGCCCAGATCAAACAATCCAGTGGAGTGTATTGAGAAAATTAATCCGTATTCAATAAATAAAATAACTAAAAATACTTGCATAAAATAAAATAATTAGTCTTAACAGCATCTGGTGTAGTTTGTCTCACACTTTAAGAAAATCTTCATACAAAATAAATGACCAGCATTGTATCTTTAAAAACAGAAAAATAAATAAAAATTATTATAAAATAAATAATACTGTAAATAAAATAGAACAGCATCTCATATAGTTTGACTCACACTTTAAAGGGATAGTTCACCCAAAAATGAAAATTCTGTCATTAATTACTCACCCTCATGTCGTTCCAAACCCGTACGACCTTCATTCACCATTGGAACAAAAAAATGAAGATATTTTTGATGAAATCCAAGAGCTTTCTGACCCTGCATAGAGAGCGACTCAAGTGACACATTCAAGGCCCAGAAAGGACATCGATAAAATAGTCAATGTGCTTTACTCCCATGAATGCAACACGGAAGAGAAGAAATTGTTGAATAAAGCCATTACTTTTGTTTTCTTTGTGCACAAAAATTATTCTCATAG